CTGTTGGGGGAGGAGGGGGGGGGAGGGTGAGCACGTTTGTAGTTTTTCTTTTTTTGTTTGGTTGTTTGGTTAGTTGGTTGTTTGTGTTTGTTTGGTTGGTTGGTTGTTAGGGGGATTTGGGTGGAGGGGGTGGATGGTTAGGGGGAGGGTAGAGGGTGGGGGGGAGAGGGGGGTGAATGGTTAGCGGGAGGGGGAGGGGGGAGGGGGAGAGAAATGTGGGGAGAGGGGGATGAGGGTGAGATAGGGGGGAGAGAGGGAGGCAGGGGAGAGAGGTGAATGTTAAGGGAGAGGGAGAGGGAGAGGAAGAGGGAGGGGGAGGGGGAGAGGAGAGAGGGAGGGAGAGGGAGAGGGGAGGAAGAGGGAGAAAGGTAGAGGAAGAGGGAGAGAGAGGGGGGAGAGGGGGAAATGGGGATAGGCTGGGGGAGAGGGTGAGGGTGAGGTGAGGGAGAGGGAGGGGAAGAGGGAGAGGGAGGGCGGGAGTGAGGGAGGAGGGGGCAGGGAGAGAGTGAGTAGGGGGAGGTGGGGGGGTGAACGGGAAGGGAGTGTGACGATTAAACATAAATGAAAAGGGAAGCGAGTATAAAACAAATGAAACGAGAGGAAAGAGAAGAAAGGAAAAAAAGCAGTAATAATGATAATGAGAATGATGATAATAACAATAAGGATAATAATAATAACAATGATTCCAATATTGATAATAATAATGATAATAATAATTATAATAATGATAAAAATAATGATAATAATGATAATAATAATAATAATAATGATAAAAATAATAATAGTAATAATAACAATAGTGATAATTATAATAATAATAATAATAACAATAATAGTAATGATAATAAAACAATGGATAAATAGAAAAGAGAATGACTGAGAACAAGAGAAAATGATCAAGAAAAAAAAAACACGAACTAAAAGAGAAAGACTACGAAAACGGGGAAAAATCCTAAATATTCATTCGTTTATAACATAACACCGAACGGGAAGAAGACCGAAAAAGAGAAAGACAACGATAAACAAGAAAACGACAACAAAAAAACAAATACAAAAAAGAAAACCCCCAAATCACAGAAAACGGAAACAAAATTACAAGCCTAAACTAAAGTAAAAAAAAAAAAAAAAACACTCCCCCACTCCTTTGCAGAAAACCCACCCCTACTTCCCCCTTTTCCCCCCGAAAACAAACAGACAAACAAACCCCCTTATTGACAGCCATCCTCTACAAGTCCCACAGTCCCTCCCCACATGTCTCCGACCTCCATTTACAACCCACAGAGGACTCCATCAACGGGTAAATTATTTACTGTTGACGCCAGGGGGAGGTCGATCACGCACGTGTTTTGATCCGCGGTGACAGGAGCGAGAGACACAGTGCATTAGGGAGGAGGCAGCATCTTCAAGGAGTAATGGCAGCCTAATTCTTCGATCGATACTGCAGCATCGCGGTGAGAGGGAGAGGAGGAAGAAGAAGGGGGAAGAGGAGGAGAGGAAGGGAGGGGATAAAAAGGGGAGAGAGGAAGGGGAGAAAAGGAAGAGGGGATGAAGGAGGATGAGGATCGGAGGGGGAAAGAGGGGAGAAGAAGAGGTAGAGGGGGAGGAGGAGAAATGGGTGAGGAGGAGGAGGAGTGGGGGGGGAAGAGGAGGAAAGAAAAAGGAGAGGGAGGGAGAAGAAGAAGAAGAAGAGGAAGAGAAGGAGGAAATGGGGGGACGAAGAAGAAGAGGAGGAGAAACATCAGGAGAAAAGGCGGAGAGGAAGAAGAGGAATGGAGGAGGAGGAAGAGGAAAGGGAGAGGGAGGAAGTGGAAAATGAATAGGAGGAGAAAGGGGAGAGGGGAAAAAAAAGAAAGAGGGGGGAAAGACAGACAGATCGATAGCGAGGCCTTACAGTGAAAAGGAAGAGGAAGAAATGGAGAAAGATGAATACCGATGAGAGAGAGAGGGAGAAGAAGGAAAGGGCAAAGGAGAAAGCAAGAGGAGAGAGAGAGAGAGAGAGAGAGAGAGAGAGAGAGAGAGAGAGAGAGAGACGAGAGAGGAGAGAGAGAGAGAGAGGAGGAGAAGAGAGGAGAGAGAGAGAGAGAGAGAGGAGGAGAGAGAAGAGAGAGAGAGAGAGAGGAGAGAGAGAGAGAGAGAGAGAGAGAGAGAGAGAGAGAGAGAGAGAGAGAGAGAGAGATAGAGAGAGAGAATGAAAAGGTAGCTAGGAAATAGCAAGGCTGAGGAAGAGAGAGGGGAAAGAAGAAAGAGTTAAAGATAGGGTGGGTGATAGAGAAAAAGAGGAGAATGGGAAAAATGAAGAACGCAGAAGGAGATAGGGGAGAGGAGGAAGAGAAGAGAGAAGAGATCGAAGAATTTAAGAGGAAGTTTTAAGGGGAGAGAATAAAATAAGATAAAGAAGGAGAGGAAGGAGAAGCGAAAGAGAGAAAGACGGAAAGAAAAAAGGAAACAGTAATAAACCAATAAAGAAGAAGAAAAATAAGAAGAAAAACAACTTAAAAAAGAGCACAACGAGAGGACAAGACTTCCCCCCCCCCTGTTGCCATTACCCCCCTGCCATCCCTCTCCCCCTACCCCCCTATGCCATACCATACCCCCTTTCCCCTCGATACCTCTTCCCCCTACCCCTTCCCCCCTCTCTCTTCCCCCCTCCCTTTCCCCTTTCTCTATAACCCCTCCTTCCTCAACCCCCATTCCCTCTTCCCCTTCCTCCCCCCCCCCCTCTATTCCCCTTGCCACCCCTCTCCGTTCTCCCCCTACCCTCCTTCTCCCTTCCCCCTACCCCATCCCGCTCCCTCTTCCCCCTCCCCTGCCTTTCCCCTCTCCCCCTTCCCCCTCCTTCCCTAAACCCGCCCCCGCCCTTCCTCCTCACTTTCCTCTCCCCTCCTCCCCCTTCCTTTGTCCCACACACCCCTCCCCCATCCTCCCGCCCCTTCCCTAGACCCCCTCCCCCTTCCCCCTCCCCTTCCTTCCCTCTCCCCCCTCCCCCCTCCTTCCCCATTATGATTTCCGAGACAAAGATCCCCTTCCGTGGAGGGAACGCCCGCAGGCCTGGGGATTTATGACGTCACGGGATTTTGTTTGTTTTTTGTTTTTGTTTTTTGTTTTTTGTTTTTTGTTTTCGTTTTTTGTTTTTTGTTTTTGTTTTTTGTTTTTGTTTATTGTTTTTTGTTTTTGTTTTTGTTTTTGTTTTTGTTTTTGTGTTTGTCTTTTTGTTTTTGTTTTTTGTTTTTGTTTTTGTTTTATGTTTTTGTTTTTGTTTTTTATTTTTGTTTTTTGTTTTTCGTTTTTTTGTTCTTCATTTTCTTCTTTGAGTGGGAGAGAGAGGGAGAAGGAGAAAAGCGGGGAGGGAGAGGGAAGAGGGAAGAGAGGGAAGAGAGATAAGGGGGTGGGAGAGGGAGAGGGAGTGGGGGGAGGGAGAGAGAGGGGAGGGAGATAGGGGAGGGGAGAGGAGGAGGGAAAAGGAGAGGTACTGGGATGTAGGGAGGGAGGGAGGAGGGAGAGGGAGAATAGGAAGATAGGGATGAGGAAGACGAGGAAGAGTGAAGAGGGAGTGGAGAGATGGTGGGGAGGAGGGAGGGTAGGGAGATAGGGAGGGTGTAGTGATAGGGAGGGGGGGGGGGTATGAGGAGAAGTAGGGGGTGGGAGGAAATGAGATACGGGAAGGAAGAGGAGGGGGGGGAGGGAGAGAGAGGGAGAGTAGAACAGTCGGGAATAGGAATGGAGGGAGAGGGGGAGGGAAGAACGAAGAGGAAGGGGAGGGAGGAGGGAGGAGGGGGTGGGTAGGGGTGGGTTGAGAGCGGGTGGAAACGGGTGAGGGGTTCAGTGGGTGGGTTGTGTAAGGAAGGGGGGGGGGGAGGCAGAGGTTGGGGCAGAGGGAGAGGGGAAATGAAAAAAATATATGCCAATAATGATAGTGACAATAAAATTCATAATAATGATAATGGTAATGAAAACAATGATAATAATAATGATAATAATGATAATAATAACAATAACACTATTAACAACAATAACGAATCATGATAACAATAGTAATAATAATATCTAAATCCGCTCTACAAGGAAAAAAAAACGGATTTTTCGAAAGACCAAAGCCACTGTGTTCCAGGAAATCAATTAGCAGAACTCCCAAGTCTCCCTTTCTCTCCCTTCCCTCCCTCCCTCCCTCCCTCCCTCCTCCCTCCTCCTCCCTCCCTCCCTCCCTCCCCCCTTAATTGTCTCCCCCCCCCCATCATTCCCTTCGTTCCCCTTCTCCCTTCTTCTTCTCTCTTCATGTTTCTCTCCCCTCTCCCTTCTCCCTTTCCCTCTCCCTTTTCCTTCCCCCTCCTCTTTTCTCTCTCCCCTTTCCTCTCCCCCTCTCTCTTTCCCTCTCTCTTCTATTCTCCCTTACCACCCTTTCTCTCCCCTCCACTTCGCCCTCTCCCTTTCCCTCTTCCCTCTCTTTCCCCTTTCCTCCGTTGCCTCATCAGTTTCCTCCCTCATCCTCCTTCCCTCTCCACCATTTTCTCTCCCTTCTCTTCCTTCTTCCTTCTTTCCCTCTTCCCTCCCCTTCCTCCCTCTCCCTTCTCATTCCTCTTTTCCCTCTCTTCCTATTCCTCTTCCCTCCCCCTTTCCCACTAATAATAATAATGAAAACAATAATAATAATAATAATGATAATAATAATAACAATAATAATAATAATAATAATAATGATAATGATAATGATAATGATAATAATAATAATATAATGATAATGATAATAATAACAATAATAATAATGATAATAATGATATAATGACAATAATGATAATGAATATAATAATAATAAAAAGATAATAATAATGATAATAATAATAACAATAATTACAGTCACAAAGATGAATAAAGGTGACTCCAAAGTGAAAAAAACCTAAGGTGAATTAACTGAATCGCAACATCTTCAGCACAAACTCGCATAGATAAATATAAACATTTAATGAATATATTTACATGTTTTATGTCTATAAAGCCACCCCAGC